TTCGGAACCTGCCGTCGGAAGGGAGGTTAGTTGGGGTTTCGTAAATGTCGCCGTTCAATGGCGTTGTGACTTTGATTTTGTCGCTATGTCCGGCAGCTTCCAGAGCCTTTTGTACATTTTGCATGGCCGGGAATGTGGTATTGACGTACTTCCCTTGGTAATTCCCCAAGAATGGTTCGTTTCCTACGGCGATGTATATTATATCAACACCCCCTTCACCCATGTAAGTGGAAATATTTTGCTTAACCCAATCTTTGACAAGGTTGTAATCGGTTGCAAATGTCTCAAGGAGCTCATTACGGATGCCGACGATGGTCTTAATTCCGGTACCAGCCAAGACAGATAGATTAGCCGCGGAATCCAAATCGAAAAGCTTCACTCTTTTTATTCCATTATCCTTCAGCAACTGCACCACGATGCTCCCGTCCAATGGGTTCGTCGCTACCGTTCCCCAGTTCACTCCGAGTGTGCCTTCCGCAGAAACGCCGGCTGCCACCGCTGCCACGGCGATCGCGACGGCCCACACGGCATGGAAGAACATGCCTCCGGCCATGAGCTGGTTACATTTTAAATCGGTTGGTTAATTAATATAAAAATTGTAAAGAGAGCCTCTTTTAGGTACGGTATTGGATTACAATTTATTAATCAGTGATTATATGTGTGTGTATATATATAGGCCCAGCTATGGATTTAGGTTGAGAGATTCAGATTTCCTACTGGAATTAAGCTGCAAAGGGTCAAGCAAACTCAATTCCCCCTTTGTTTTAGGGGAAAACCAAGAACATGAACTTGGTTGTTGTTTAACCAAAAATAAAAATAATAAAAAATTAGCCATCTCTCTTTCTCTTTAGCCATGCATATGCAAAAGAGAACTTGTATTTCGGAGCTTTTCTATTTCTATATTTGTCCTATTCGTCCAATTACCACGCTAACCATTTTTGGAAAGCAAAGTATTGAACTACTCTTTGATTCTTTCCTTTTAACTTTTTTTGTGCTTTGAAGTGAAATTTCTCAAAAATCAATTATAGCTTATGCATTATTATGGTAAATTAAGTCATATATATATATATATATATATATATATATATAAATAAATGAGGAGTAAATAATACATGATCTCCTACTATTGTACCATCTTTTCTTAGTATAATTTTATATCATCTTAAATATGAATAAACCACCCCTGAATCCAAAAGCTTAAGCTAACCAATTATGATATATTTAATTATTAATATTAGATATCTCTAACAATACATTATATATATCTTGATGGATGAAGATGTAATTTACTTAAAAGACTTGTCAACCAATTGTACATTTCAATAAATTAAGATAAGAGAAACGAGAGAGATTTGTCGATGATACTAAGGCTGGTTGCCAATTGGGCGCCAGAAGGGCCATTTGCCAACTAACGTCCCACTCACTAGTTGTAATGATCGAAATGACGAGGAATTAGAATGAATATTATTTCTTTTTTATATTGTTTATTATAAATTTTCTAGAATTTGAATTAGAAATTTTTTGATGTTGTTTACTAAAATTGTCTAGATAGTCGAAATAGGAATCAAACATATTACAATATTACTAGTATACCTCTTTCTTATTTATAGCTAATTGCAAATATATTATTGTGATCATCTTTTTCTAATTTAATTAATAATAAAATTTTATTTTATTTTATTACTATTTAAATATTTTTTATTATAACAGTTTTATTTAATATTAACAAATAATAAATAATTAAAATAAAATAAAACAACATCAAACAATACAATCTCTTTATTAGAACAACCATCATTTAAAATAAAAATATTATTAAACTTTATTGTTATAATATTTAATAATAATGAATTTCATTTAAAAAAAATGTATTACTATTAATTAACAATAACAAAAGTAAAATTAACTAATTAAAAATTAAATAAAAATTTATAATATTGTATAATAAATCACAATCAACTAATAAAATGTTTTATTATCAGAATAAAATATTATTAGTATAAATAAAAAATAATAAAAATATAAAACAATTAATTTAAAAGTAATGGTGTCACTAATAGATAAGAGAGAAAAAGTAAAAATTATAAAGGTGGAGGATTACGTGATAAGGAATAATGAAAATGAGATTTATGAGGTTGGAGAGATCAATGAGATTTTACATCATTTTGAGCATAGTGATTACAAAGTTCGAGGTGAGTCGTCTCATGAATTGTTTTTATTCTTACTATTTAGTAAACAATATCAAATATAATGAAATGAAAATTTTGATTCTCATTCATTGATTTTTCAAACTAAGAATACCTAAAAGTGTAAATAAGTTTAATTCGATTAGATTGATTTGTATTGCCAACTTGAGCATATATAACTCAACAAATTAAGAATTAAGATATCTATCTCTTCCGACCAATGGCGCCCACTAACTCAACAAATTAAGAATTAAGATATCTATCTCTTCCTCTTCTACCCGGAAATTAAGACATGCTTCTCTTCTTTTACTAAAAAAAAGCTTCTCGGATCAAAAACTTATTTACTAGATTTTGAGAAATAATTTATTCCGGCTCCAAAAAAATCTTTTGAGAAATAATTTCTTTGAATTATCGATCAACATGTAGTGGAACATCGTTTCAAGTACGAAAATTATGAATTTGGTCTCTAATTTCAATTTCCTTCAACTCGAACTTTCATCAATAGAATTGTTTGTTGCATACTGAAAAGAAATTTATTCCTCTTTCAATAGAACTGTGAAGTTAAAGCTACAAAAATTTTGTCTTTCCTGACAAATACCAAAAAGAAAAAAGAAAGAAAAAAAAAATCAAGAGGCAAATACCTCCTTCAAAATTGTCCTAAACCAAATCTCAACTGATCTGAAACACGAAAACAAAACAAAACACATGCAAAAAATAAATAAATAAGTGTAAACCCCCATTATTGTTCACACTAAAATGCAAACAGGCTGAACACCACAAGCCCGACCAGCGCCACCGCCGCCCTCATCCTCAAGCTCTCCCCGGCGCTCTTGCCGGAGCCGCCCGGGCTCCCGCTTGGGCTCCCGCCCGGGCTGGAACTTGCGGTGGTGCTGCCGCTGGACCCCGTAATCTGTATCGGAAACAAGCAGTCCCCTACGGTTGCATTCTTGGTCACAATCTTGGCCGCCCCTCCGAAGCCGCACGCCGCCGGATTCTGATCCTGCATCTGATAATACATATTGAAAACATACGAAACATTCCCTCGCACGCCCAAGTTGTTGCACGAGCACCCGTACCCCAAGCTGGTGCATTCCGAATGCTCGCACGCCCACGACACATCTTTTTGTATGCTCGCACCCAATTCAGTCACATTATCCGCAATCACACACCACTGATTCTTCATATACTCCACCCCCTTCGCCCCCACCGGCATCTTATCCGCCCCGTTCCCGGAAAAGTCCATCGCGAACTTGGGGGTCCCGTCGTAYCGGAAAATCCCCCAATGGCGCTCGAAATTCCCCGGGTCAATGCTCTTGATGTTCTCGTCCAAAAGGCTGAACATATACACCTCGTAATTCTCCTTCGGCCTCATTGGAGTCCCTTTGTTGGACGCCATTCTCTTTAACAGCCCGCTGTAGAATCTCTTCGCTACCGTCGTGTTCGCATATATGTTCCCGTCCGTCGGCCACCCCACTTCTCCGATGATGATTTTCATGTCGTTAACGCCCATTTCCTTCAGCGAATACGTCAGCGTGTCGTAATGCGCGTCCAAGACGTTGTAGTAAATGGTGCCCTTGTCGTCGATGACGCTGTCTTTGACCTTTCCGTCGTTGTCGAAGAAGGCATAATTGAATGGAAAGCCGGGGTTTTGATAGAGGTTGATGAAAGGGTAGATGTTGATCATGAATGGGGATTTGTTTTTGTCGAGGAATTGGACTATTTGCTTCATGGGGTCGTAGATGTCGGTTCGGAACCTGCCGTCGGAAGGGAGGTTGGAAAAGGATTGGTAAACGTCGCCGTTTAAGGGTGTTGTGACTTTGATTTTGTCGCTATGGCCGGCGGCTTCCAGAGCTTTCTGTACGTTCTGCATGGCCGGGAATGTGGTGTTGGTGTACATTCCTTTGTAAGCACCCAAGAATGGTTCGTTTCCGACGGCGATGTATATGATATCAACGCCGCCGTCACCCATGTAAGCAGAAATATTTTGCTTAACCCAATCTTTGACAAGGTTGTAGTCGGTTGCAAATGTCTGAAGGAGATAATTCGGGACGCCGACGATGGTCTTAATTCCGGTACCGGCCAAGGCAGATAGATTAGCCACGGAATCCAAATCGAAAAGCTTCACTCTTTTTATTCCATTATCCTTCAACATCTTCACCACGGTGTTCGCGTCCAATGGGTGCGACGCTTGCGTTCCCCAGTTCACTCCGAGTGTGCCTCCCGCAGAAACGCCAGCGGCCACCGCGGCGACGGTGATCACGGCGGCCCACGCGGCGGGGACAAACATGCCTCCGGCCATAGGCAAGTTTTATTATGGTATAAGTTTTGTGGGTGTAGAAGAGAGAGAGAGAGATCAGAGAAGTATTGGGTTGGGGTGTGATGAATTAGTTGATGAATTGGTGATTGTATATATAGGCGTAAGGTGTGAAATAAATGTGGATGGGATTGAGATTTTTGCAGTGGAAATGTTGAAAGGGTCATTCAACAGCTCAGTGTTCCCTTTGTTTTAGGGGAAAAGAAGAACTCGAACTTCGTTCTTGTTTAACTAAGTTTAGTCATCTCTCTCTCTCAGCATTCAAAAGAACTTGTCTTTTGGAGCTTCTTCTATATCTATATTTGTCTAGCTCAGCTCTTGCAATGCCAAGTTTAGTGATTTTTTGGAAATATTCTTTGTGCACACGTGGGTGTGGGGTGTTTTGTTTCTTGTTTTTTATTTTTTTTAGTTGTGAGGATGTATTCAAATCTTTAATTTGGTTCGATTATTGGTTGCGATGTTGAAAAGACGTTGCATGAGTGAAGTGATAATAAATGAGAATGAGAGATAATCTTGTCAAATTCAAACATAGCGCTTTTATTCAATATGCAATATTTATTATCATCTTAAAAATCAATAGTTCAATCACTATTTGATAAAATGAGGCTAAGTATAATTAAGTAATTTTGTTCTACATTTAACATAATTAGGAATATGGACCGATATTTCATTGGACTATAATTTAAAATATTAATAAAATATTACTGATTTAAACATAATATTAATAATAAAATTTTCTTCAACTTACCTAAAATGTGTAAAATTTTTATTTACCCATTAAATGTTTTTTTAATGATTTTTTTGATTTATATATCACAAGTAATCGAGAGTAAAAATATTATGATGATGTATTGATCTCTCAAATATTTTATTACAGTTTGTTATCAAACTAACTTTAACTCTCCAACTAATACATAATTAGTTTAATACTCCCCTCAAGATGAGTAGTAAATGTCTAAAACTCCCATTTTGGATAGTAAAGAGAAAAACATTGTAACAGGGAGTGCTTTTGGTGAAGAAATCTGTCAACTGTAGTTGGGAACGTATAGGCAAGAGCTTAATAAAACCCTCCAAAATCTTGTCACGAGCAAAATGACATTTCAATTCTATATGCTTAGTTCGTTCATGAAAAATGGGATTGGAGGCAATGTGAACAACAACTTCATTATCGCAAAACAAAAGAGCTGATGTAGAAAAAACAATCTGTAAATATGATAAGAGGTGAGAAAGCCAAACTAACTCACAAGAAGCCATTGCCAATGCACGATACTTTGCCTCAACTGATGATCTAGCAATAGTTTACTGCTTTTTGATTTTCCGCGAAACTAAAGTATCACCTAAAAATACATAGAAACCAGTGGTAGACTTTCTTAAATCAAGACGAGATGCCCAGTTAGAGTCCACAAAGGCACGCAACTGAAAAGTAGAAGAAGCAGGAAGAAAAATTCCTTGACCCGGCTCATTTTTTAGATAGCGTACAACAAATGATAAGCAACAGCCAAATGAACCTTTAGAAGGTTTGGAAACAAACTAACTGAGTTTGTGGACCACAAAGGTGATGTCGGGCTAGGAAATAGTCAAATAAAGAAGCTTGCCAATTAACCTTTTGTAAACAGTGGCATCAGTAAGCAAATTTGTATTAGAAAGTTGAAGTTTCAACATTGGGTCCATAGGAACAAGGTCGGTTTGAATGCTAAAAGACCAACATCCTCAAGCAGTGTAATGTATAATGTCGCTAGGAAATAGTAATACTAGTAGAAGATCGTGCTAATTCAAGGCCAAGGAAAAACTTGAGAAGCTTACAAAGATCTTGAGAAGAAGCTTTAAGCGGTCAATCTCAACTGAATACACCAGTAATTATTATTTTATAATGTTTTATAATTTATAATATATTATATTTTATCTGTTTTAATTTTAACAAAAATGAAATGAATTTATAATATGAAATAATATATTTTTTAAAATTATATTATATATTTTAATATAATTCTACCTTATTTATTTAAAGTTTCAAATTCAAAAGCTGAAAACATCAAAAAATATAAAAATACAAAGATATAAATTAATTCTATACCTTTTATTTTTAAGTATATATATATATATATATATATATATATTTTTTTTTTAATACAATCTGTGGAGAGGAGTTTTGAACTCACAACTACCGCTAATTATGTTGGCTTGACAGTTATATATTCTATCCATTCGGTAAGTATAGTTTCCAAACTTAAAACTGAAATTGAATGGATTACGCTACCGCATGTTAATAATCATGTTTGAAATGAAAAGCAGAAATTGGGGCTTTGCAATAACAAGCATCCCTTGCCTCCTTGATATCAGTTTGTTGAACTAAAAAAAATATATATATATATAAATATATAACCGCAAGAGGACTTTCAAACCCCTTGGGTGATGGCATAATATTTAGAGAAACCGAGCATTTTTAAAAGATACCGATCAGACATATACATTCCCATTGTAAAAAATCAATTTGCAATAGTATATAAATATTATACAAATCAAGGTAATGTGAAAGGAAAAAAAAGAAAAAAGAAATCAATAACCAAAATGGAAAAAAGATCTCACAAAACTGATATACAATAGGCTTCTTCTAGCATCCAACCCTGCACTTAATATGATTGTTGCTTCAAAAGACCTGGCTTGTGAGATGTGAAGTGAAGCTACAAAAAAGGTAACAGAAATCTTATAATAAATGAACTGGTTTGCATTTTTTACCATCTGCACATCCTTCTGCCATCTCTTCACCCACTCCCATCAACAAATGAACCAGGGTAGGACAGGGCAGTGAAGTTCCATGGCGTAATTATTCACAGAATACAATGTTATCGCCATTGTCATCGACACCATTAGTGTCCTCTCCAGGCATCAACAAAACTGAACACGATGTTGCGACGATCTTTCGGTTCACATCAGCGGAAGATATGTACCTCCATGCCCTTTTCTGAGCACAAGAGGCCCGGCATTCTCGGGTACCTTATCAAGCGCTTTTGTGCAAGCATTAATAACATCCATGAAACCAGTGGCAACTTGAGCTAGTTGCAAACAGAGCCTCAAATCCCGAGTCCTTTTCAACAAGCATCTAAATGATCTTCCCAAATATTTTGCCCACTCTGCAGGCAACCCTCCCCCAGTTAGCCAGACGGAGAATTGGGACTGGTCCCCACGGGCAGCGACTTTGGACCTATAAAATCTTGCAATGTCGTTTAACATTGAAGGATGGAGTGGAAAAACACAAACAAATTCAGCCACAAATTCTTCTAGAATCTCTGGTTTAAACATCTGATTCCAAATGACTAGAGCCCACTCGCTCGGCTGGTCGAGATCATAAGCTTCAGCAACAATTAGTGCCTCTTGGAATCTTGATTGCTCGACAAGGGCTCTTCTGGCATTAGTTTCCGTCTGCAAGAGCCACTTAAAGTCGGGCATCCTAATTTGAAGGGACACTAGAGAAGCCTGAGCACAGGATCTGCGGGTTTTGTTTCCAGCATCAATGGAAGAATGAACTTCAGCAGCTTTAATGTAGTAATGCATTGCATCTAAAAGGTCTTCATTCTGGTCCTTATCATAACGGCGGAACCACATCTCACAAGACTGCTCTGCCTGCGACTCCAAAAGAGCAGCCGTTTCATGTTTCATGTCAAAATGGCTGTAGACCTGTAAAGAAGATGTAAACCACCAAATTAAACACTAGCAACATCATAGGCTGACCTACATCTAAGTATACATCCGCCAAGCACACCAGAAAATTTCCACGGCCTAACATTTGGTGAGAATAAAATTAGTATAGTGGTCAAATCTATCTTAGAAGAGAATGGAGGATAAAAAGAAAAGAATGGTCATTTAATCTAAAATATTAATCTGTAAGACATCACCAAATCTTAAAAATGCCAATATTTTGAGATACTTCTGATAACTATCCAAATAAATTACAAAGATAACTAAGATCCAGAAGAAGGGATATAAAACAAAAATATAGCATCCGGAGTTAATAAAAATATGCCAGTAGACTTGTGATTGGAATATAGATTAGAAATTTCATAATATAAAACATGAAGAGGACAACAAAAAAAGGCTCAGATTGGCCTAGTGAGACGAAAATAAATGAGGAAATATCTCATCAAAATGACATGATATCAATTTATCATATTGTCAGGAATATGACACATTGGACATTATGAACATTTCTACAAACCTTAGCCAATGCATCAAGATCATTGGAGTTAAAATGCTTGAGGGATGTAAGAACAGCCATGCGAAATCCCCTGACAGCCTCAGCACTCCCTGAACTTGTATCTACAGCAGCCGAGAACTTTTGAAGAAGAAGTTCTAGTTGACCATTCTCTATAAGAATGCCAAGAATATAGCTAAGGGCATGGAAGTTTCCAACTCCAGTTATTAGTCGAGCTAAACATGGAAAATCACCCTCAGCTACATAAGCCTCAACTCTTGTGGCAGCAAGAGCCACGAGAACATCCACCCCATCAAGGCAAGCCGAAGATTTGTAGAAGTGGTGAGATAAAATTAAAAGCTCAACCTAAAAACAGAACATTATATGAAACGTTAAAAAAGGTTGAGGCACAAATTTTTTAAGAAGGTCGTGATAGAAACAGAAAGAGTTGTAGATAATTATAAGATGACATCCTTCTAAATGGGATAAGATAGTACTATTATTTAGTATTTTCTTTTATCTAATTAAAGAAATAATTAGAAAATAAAACAACTACGTGAAAAAATGAGTAATAAATCCTGGTAGAGATCGGTAGAATTCAATTCCACATTTTGTTCCTTGGATAACTCATTAAATAGAATAATATGTTAGGATCCCAAATACAAAAACCTAACAAGACAACTATATTGCAATTCATAAGAGCCTTTCGAGAGGGCTATCTCTCTCCCAGGAACTCTCTCAAGTTCTTCACCAAAATACTATTCTCCAAGATATCCTTCTCCTCTCCCTGCTACTCTTATTTATAACAACTCATCCTAACTAATTACCATATTAATTATCATACTATCCATTCATACTAACAAACTAATATTCCCTATACCCCTAATAGGACTCTCACATTACTCCGCGCTTCAAAGACACCTTGTCCCTAAGGTGTGCATACACAAAAACAAATTTAACCTTTTTTTTTTAACTACCCATCCAAAAACACCGAAAATAACAAAAGAGAAAAAAAATAACCCCTGCCCAATACTGCAGCTCGTCCATTTCCACTAGCAAGGAAAGGTCTACCAACATCCTCAGCCCAATACAGCAGCTCTTCCATTCTCATTACAAACCAAAAATACACCAGCACTCCCTTTGCCCAAGCCCATGGCCCAATCATCCATAATAGTCTGCTGCCCCTTTCCAGTTGATTGGGCCCTTTTTTAATCTGTTTAGTCCTGGCTCCAGCCCACATAGATTCTTTCTTCCAAAATCTTCCTTGTACGGTAACCCTAATTTCATCCTCATGAACTCTCCTCNTTGGATGAGTTAAAAAGGACATTTTCAATTGGAGTATTTTTGAACCACAAGGAAAGGCAAAATTCCATATTAAAGATTGTTCACAACCTTCTAACTCTACTGCATTTAAACTCGAGGACGAGTTTTCTTTCAAGAGGGAAGGAAACTGATGTAATTACCAACCCATTAGTTTTATTAGTTATTAGTTAAAGGCTGAAGTTAGTTGGTTAGCTGTTATTAGTTAGTTGGTTGGCTGTTTTTAGTTAGTTGGTTGGCTGTTATTAGTTAGTTCTTGTTAAATGTCTTTAGCCCTCTTCTATRAAAGGGGCTGCGGTCTTCATTTGTTGAGTAGTTTTTTCAATCCATAAAATTCTCTCTCATTTGGTTTACATCATTTTGGGTATAGATCTTTCCAAATGGCTTGTGCATGAGAGATCTCTTTCGAGCCATGTCAGTGAGAAGAGAAATGATGGAGAAGGGACCATTTCTGTCTAATGGCCAAACCCAAGAGTCCTCCCCATCAAGGAGGTGGGTGGATTCTAGTTGACTAGAAAGTGTTGCCCATTCTGTAATTTCCTCCTCTTTGAGAAAGCGCCTGTAGCCCAAATCCCAAAAATTGAGGTCTGAGTTCCATATCTCTTTGTCATATCTCTTTGTCAGAGGCTGTTTTTCGAAGGGATAGGGAGAAGAGGCTAGGGAAATCTAAAGCCAATGGGGAATCAATCAGCCAATGGTCATACCAAAAGGATGTAGATGCCCCATTTCTAACTTTGGAAGCAATTCTGTCAAAGATAAGGCGCCTCTGTTTGTAAATATTCCTCCATGGTCCGCGAGTAATTGTTATAGACTTGGATCCCGGCTTAGTGTTGAAGGCTTCTGTGGTGTATTTAGCCTCGATGATTCTTCTCCAAACTGCTGTTTTTTCGACTCTAAATCGCCATATCCATTTTGCAAGGAGTGCTCGGTTCTTGGCTTGAAGTCCGTGTAACCTGAGACCTCCTTGATCAGTTGGGCACAGGACTTTGTCCCATTTGACAAGGTGCATGGTTGTTGATTCATCACCACCTCTCCAAAGAAAGTTTCTGCGAAGCTTCTCAATGTCCAACCCTATTAGGCATGGCAAAAAGAGAGAGATAATACGTAGGTAAATTAGAAACGAATGAGTGCTGCCAAGAATGAAGACACCTTTCAATTTTCTCAATCACAGGGGCCCAAAAAGAAGCTGTGTTTGGATTAGCATTGAGGGGGAGACCCAAGTAGGAATTTGGCCATGATCCAACCTTACAATCATAAACTGTAGCAATAGAATTTAGACGCTCCACTTCTATATTAAGGCCAAGAATCTTAGATTTAGTAAGGATGATATTTAAACCTGATGCTTCTTCAAAGGTCTTTACAATCTGAAAAAGGTTTTTGATGGCTTCATCCTCATCTAAGGAGAAGAGTATCGTATCATCGGCAAATTGGAGGTGGTGGATGTGCAGTGGATCAGATCCCGTAGAAAAACCCTTGATTAAACCCAAATCGGCCGCTTGTGTGAGGAGATGGCTAAGGCAATCAACCACCAATATGAAGAGGAAAGGTGAAAGAGGATCGCCTTGCCTTAGACCCCGAGTAGCACGAATTTTACCTCTCAGTCTCCCGTTGATGATGATAGAGAAATTGGTATTACAGATACATCCTCTCATCCACTTTCTCTATGTGGCACCGAATTCTTTGGCACATAGGATAACATCAAGGAAATCCCAATCTACTTTGTCAAAAGCCTTCTCTATATCAAGTTTGATGATCACCCCTCTTTGCTTCTTCCGTTTCCATTCTTCCACAGTCTCGTTGGCAATGAGGGAGKCATCTAGGATTTGTCGCCCTTCTGATTGTTGTTTCGAGATGGTGGATGGGAGGACCTTTTTGAGTCTTGAGGAAAGAACGCGGGCCACAACTTTGTAAAGACAAGTGGTGAGGCTAATAGGCCGATAATCCCCCACAGTGCGAGCGTTAGATTTCTTTGGGATGAGGCAAATGTATGTTCCATTAAGGCTTGCATTGATTACACCATTTCTAAAAAAATCTTGGAACACCCTCGTAATATCAAGTTTGAGAATGTTCCAAAATTTTTTAAAGAATTCAACGGTGTATCCATCAGGGCCAGTGTATCCATCAGGGCCTGGGGATTTGTTGGTACCAAGATCACATACTGCTAGCCAAACCTCTTGCTCAGTGAACTGTTCTTTGTTAGGTACCCGAATAGAAGAACCTAAGAAGAACCGATAGTCTTTCGAGAGGGCTATCTCTCCCCCAAGAACTCTCTCAAGTTCCTTACCAAAATACAATTATCCATGATATCCTTCTCTCTCCCTACATAACAACTCACCCTAACTAATTAACCATACTACCCCTTCATACTAACAAACTAATATTCCCCCGTACTCCTAATAGGACTCTCATATTACCCTGCCCTTCATAGACACCTTGTCCTCAAGGTGTGAATACACAAAAACAAATTTCCTTTTTAACTACCCATACAAAAACATCGAAAAGAAAAAAAAGGCCAAAAATAACCTCAACCCATTACTGCAGCTCGTCCATTTCCACTAGCAAGCAAAAGTCCATCAACATCCTCAGCCCAATACATCATGTCTTCCATTCTCATTAACAAACCAAAAACCCACCAACACTCCTTTTGCCCAAGCCCATGGCCCAATCATCCATAATAGTCTGTTGCCCCTTTCCAGTTGATTGGGCCCTTTTTTTAATATGTTTAGCCCTGACTCCAACCCACATAGATTCTTTCTTCCAAATCTCCCTGTAACCCTAATTTCATCTCGTGAACTCTCCTCTCCCCTGCACTTCACCTTTCCGTCGCCGCCTCCACCCCTTCGGCCACTTCGTCTGCCACTGCTCCCCTTGCCGGTCGCCTTGAAACTTCGACCCTGTATTCGCCGGAGTCTTGTCTCCTCCCTCGTTTAGTCTTCCTCTCCGTCGCCACCATTTCCACTTCTACCGCTTCTTCGTTCCACGTTTCTTCATCGGCTGCTTTTTCACCAGCCAGCCACCCTGCGACTTTGACCTCGTGCTCTCCATCCTCTTGATATTTCTTTTCTGCCCACCAATTTCTCCTTCGTCCCTCTTCTCGAACTGGAACTCCTTCCACCGCCGAGCTTTCAATTTTTTCCACGGAATCATCAATGGTCGACCTCTCTTCGGAATTTCGACCTTCGTCTCAACATTCATCAATTCACTTTGCCCGGTCTTTGAATTTCTTCGGTCTTTAATTTCTACTTCATCCCCCTTTCCGAACATCTCTGGTCAATGTTGCCTTCTTCCTCTCCTCCTTAGCTTCTTCATATTCTTTGTATCCTCGTAACTGTCTCGAATGAAAGATCCATGGCCAGGACGAACTTGCTCTAATACCAATTTGTTAGGATCCCAAATACAAGAACCTAACAACACAACTATATTGCAATTGAAAAGAGTAATTACAATATCGATAGCCTTTCGAGAGGGCTATCTCTCTCCCAGGAACTCTTTCAAGTCCTTCACCAAAATACTATTCTCCAAGATATCCTTCTCCTCTCCCTACTACCCTTAATTATAACAACTCACGCAAACTAATTACCATACTACCCATTCATACTAACAAACTAATATTCCCTCTACCCCTAATAGGACTCTCACATAACATCAATCCCTAAACCATCTTGATAAACATGGAAACGTCTGGACATTTTGCTAGAGATGGAATGAGGAAGAATAACACTTCCATATCGCACTGAACTGACTAAAATTTGTACCATTCCTTTTGTGTTTAAAGACATAAAAAAAAAGCAAATAATATTCCAGTTTCCATCACTTCCACAGGTTTATTCCTTTAACGACATTACCAGAATCACACTAAGAAGACCAAATCTTTTATCACCAATAGCACATTCTATACACTAATAGAATAATAGAACAATGGGTGGAAGCATTAAGTGGTCTTTCTTTCATTATCTTCTTTATGTAAGGAGCATGTTGAAGCCGAGGATTCTCATTGAAAAAAGAGGTTGGATGACTGTTGTTCTTCCCTGCTTAGTTATTTAAAGGGATCTCTCAACCCAGCCCTCTTTCTCAGCAAATTCCATTGGAGCCTCATCTCCAACTCATGATTTCAAGATCGATGCACCATCTGAAATTTCTCATGACATTATTGTCCTCAATGATTGGTTAGCTTTTTTGGGTTTGGAGGTGGAAATGCTTAAAAAAGAATGGGTGGCCTGTTTAGAAGAATTCAATAGAAGAAAATTGAAGATTCAAGTCAATTATGAAAAATATATACAAAGCTTTGCTCTCAGAAGTGAGTATGATGAACAACCTCTAAAGTTAGTTTTGTTTTGAATAAAGTGATTTAATCTTTATTGGAGTGTTTTTTATCAAGTTTTCAGATGTTGTATCCATATTTGTTTTTTCTTTTGTATCTTTTCAGGTTCTTTCTTCTTCGCTCCCCATGGGAGCTAGTATCCTTAGAATTTGCTCTCTTTTTATTTATTAATAAAAAAATTGTTTCTTTTTAGAAAGGAAAGAATAATAGATCAATGATTGTAATTCACAAGTCTACCCAAACAATACTAATAACTAACAATACCATTTATCCAAAAATAATTTTCAATATTTTCTTCCTTTTTCTGTTTGCACTAAGAGGACCTATTCTCTTCCATGATGTGCACCCTAGGCCACATAGTAGCACAAAATATATCATACACAGTAGTACCTCACAGGCATGCGGTATCTCTTGTCCAGTAATAACTAAACGCATCAATGCATGCCCAATCTCTGGTTCAGAAGGACAAAGTTCTGACCACTTCAAGAAGTCAGAGAATCTCCATAGTAGAGGCGCAGGTCCTTCATCTTTCTGGGAATCCATATAACCTCCACGATGTGCAGCCAACAAGCCCTGATTTTGTCAAAATAATAAGAGGTCAGTTTAGATTAAGTAGTAATACTTATCACACAGATTCATTCAAACTAAGGAAAATTATCCAGATTCGTACAAAATATGTTTAAATTCAAGCCGTCAAATAGAGACTGAATCCAAAACAAGTCCAATAATTAAACTTCGGAGATAGTTTAACTGAAATGAGAAATCTAAATTCACAGTTCCAGAGATCTAGGCACTCGATAGAAAATAACCTTTAGAAAGGAATCTGCAAGAATTTGAGCAATACTAGAAGCAGGCATAGAGTGAGTCTGCACAAGGAAATTTGCTTCCTCAAATGATTCTTGTGCTTTAAGAGAAAGTAGCTGTAATAGTTCAATAGGCTGTTTGTTATATGCCTCTGAAAATGGAAGTCCTAAGACATTTGCAGCCTTTACAACTGCAATTACTCTTCTACAAAGTCCACGTCCACCACCTTCAGCAAAAATTGTTGCTAAAATCTCCAAAACCTATGCAGGTGAAGACACGGATCATACACATCAAGCAAAGTAGAAACATGAGTTACCATTGGATGGTAACAAATTCATAAAACTGAAAGAACATAGTTAAAAGGGGAGGACATTCTCCTTTTAACAATCACCACTAAGCTTAACATAAAAAAGAAGGGGAGAGAGGATTGACAGAGACCTGCAATGGATTAAGATATTGATCAACTGGAATACCATATGAAAGAATAACTGAACATAAATCCCCATCAACCAAAGACATGGAAACTTCCCGATTAGGGGTTGATATAGCTGCAAGCTTAAAAGCAGCATCCACAAGAAGGAATTCTGACAGTACTTGCCCGGGAGACAGCTTTTGTTGGAGCTGCTTGGCAGCCGTAATTTGACCAAACTCTAGCAATGAAAGAACAGCTCTATCCACCTCTGCAGGTCCAACCCTTTCTTCCCACCCGGAAAATGAAGTGTCCATTTTTAAGTTCTCATCTTGCAACTGCAAGTCATTCTTAAAAGTGGAAGGAATACATCCATCTTCAGGGTTAGTGTTCATGTCTGCAAAGTCCACTAATGGTCGTCGTAGTAGCACAGAACCTTTGGTTCTCATTTTCGCCTTCGAATTCCCCCCTTCTGCAGTTGAAAAGCCAGCATCTAATACTTGACTTTTATGATGAGTCTGGCTGTTTTCTCTCACCTCATGTTTATCCATATTTTTATTCTTCATTGTACTAATATGTTGATCCATTTTTGATATCATACTTGCAGTCGAGTCAATAATACTTGAGCTATTCCTAGATATACATTCCCGGCTGGAACTGTTAATGTTCAGGTCCCGTTCATTCTTCATCTCAGCTTCTGACTCTACTGCCAGCAGCCAAACCTTGGTCTCAATTTCTCGTAGAAGATGCAATGGATAAACTCTAAAGATTGGATCACTCATGTCAGTGACAATGATATTAAATGCAAAATAAGAGGCACAAGGTAAAATTTAAGATACATCTCTTACGGGTTGGACATGGTAAACATCCCACTTAACCATTGTAAGGAAAGTAACAATAGTTCATGAAGCTCCTTGGCTGGAAGATCTTTCTCCACAGCTTCTGCATGTTTAAGGAAAAATAATCCAGCCTACAAACATAAGACAGCAATTATGAGTAGATTATTCACAGGTAAAATTCTTTCATCCAAATATTAGGCAGCAGTTCCACATCAAATATCATTGTAACTTTAACTTACCTGTAAAGCAGGAAAGGAATATCTGATGAAGAGTGCCTGGCAGTGACCCCACAATGCAACTCTCTCTTCTTGAACATCCCATAAAAATTCCTTCCATTCTGCTACCATAGATTCGGCCTGAACAAGGAGAGAACCATTAACTCAACAGTAATCTGAATACCTCAAAATCTTTATTTCCTTTTCCTCACCCCCTTTTAGGATAATCCATGTTATTCATACTTCGGCTAGTTGTGGTTTAGTTTCTCTGAGGCTTTTTGCAGATTCTTCCAAGAGTGCCTGTTTCTATTATTTTGCTTGGTTCTTTATGGAGTATCCTCCAAGAATTTCTAAAGAAGAATTCGGTTTTATCCTTCAAGCATTCTTCAAGTAATGACCATCTCCTCCCCACTTGGAGCCTTTTTGGTAGGAAGCTTGTCAGTTTTTGCAAAGAAGTTCTCCAGCTTAAAATAACTTAAACAGTTAATTTTGTTTAAAGAGCTTTTAGATAAGTTCAAGGCAGAGTTCGTGGAGTCTTCTTCTTCCAATCCCACTATAAAGTAGGTTTTGAAGTTCTTATGGTTCTCCAAGCTTTGTACTATGTAGTTTTCAAAGTTCTTCAGTGTTACCTCTTGGGTTTTAACGTTCTTTATCTTTTCTGTGCTTGTATTGTTCTTGTTGAGCTTATTCTACGTTACTTTTGTTCTATCTCTTCTTTTTTCACCCATTTGAAGGTTTGTTTCTTGAATATTTTTCCTTCACATATATCAATGAAAAGTTGTTTCTAGTTAATTAAAAAAAAGTCTTAGGAATACTTAAACAAAATGGTACCCCAATTAATTCCATGTAGGCTGATTACATATATATAGTGTTCTAATCAAAATATATAGAAATTAAGAGACTTTTCTTTTTCTTCTAGTTAGTGATGTTTTTAGCTGTTTGTTGGACATCATTCATATTAGTGGTTCCTTTAAAGGGTTCTTGGTAGGTAGAAAGTCTCTTCATCTTTCTCACCTTCAATTTGCCGATGATACACCAATCTTCAATAAGGATAACGATGTGATACTCTTAAACTTGATTCGAACTATCGAAGCGTTTGAATGGCTCTCAGGTTTAGCCGTGAATTGGGACAAATCGGCATTGTATGGAGTTAATATTCTGATTTCTAGGGTTTAGCAGATAGCTTCTACATTGAAATGCAAGGTGGATTCCTTCCCTATTTTGTACTTAGGTTTGCCCTTAGGTGTAATCCTTTGCACAATGATTTTTGGCACCCGGTTGTAGAGAAGGTATATAAAAAATTGGATCGATCGAAACGTTTTCATCTTTCCCGGGGCAGTCACTTGACTTTATGCAATTCTGTTTTGGCTAATCTCCCAACCTACTACATGTCCTTATTCCAAATGCCAGTAGATGTTTGAAAACAGATTGAGAAAGCTATGCGGGATTTATTTTGGGAAGGAAATTCCAAAGGGCTTTTGAAACATTTGGTGAAAACCACTTCTCTGTCTCTTGAAGATGGTGGGCTAGGTATTGGTGGTCTCTCAAGTCGAAACAGTGATTTATTAGCTAAATGGGGATGGCGTTCTGGTTGTGAAACTCATTCTCTTTGGATGTCTGTGGTGGAATTTGAAAAGTATTCATGGCTCTGATTCTCTGAGTTGGTTTACTTCCCCAAGGCTGGTTTCTAGTAAATGGGTCCCATGGAGCAGCATTTCTAAGCGTCGGAGGAAAGTTGAGTCCTATGCCTCTTTTAAGCTTGGTTGTGGCAGCAAGATTTCTTTTTGGCACTCCACCTGGATAAACAATTGTCCATTAAAGGTTAGCTTTCCCAATATTTTCAAGATCTCCCCTTCCTCTCTCGGTACAGTTTCTCAATTTTGGGATCAAAATATGGGTTCGTGGCATGTACAGATTCGTCAGTCCCTAAAAGATGTGGAGCTAGAAGCGTATGCTTCTCTTATGTCATTATTAGCTTCAGTTTCTATTTCTACCATGGATGATTGCAGATTTTTTTTTTGGATAAGAAACCTTATATTAGAACAACTCAAAAGAGGAACAGCCTAAGGGCTGGGGTAGAGTCAACCCAACCCAGAGAAGCTATACAAAAGCTTTCCAATTGTGTAAGAAAGTGGAAAGATTGTAATTACAAACAAATTTGCTATAGCTAAGGCACCACCGAGAAGTAGTGTGCTGAACACATCTACAAAAAAATTCAAAAGTAGACCTCTTGTCTTAAAAAATATGACGATTTCATTCTCCCCATAAATGCCAAAGAAGAGCCCTTGTAGCGCAATTCCATATAACCCTTGCTTTTTTGGGAAGAAACCAGCCCATTAGCAATTCATGAAGCCACCCATCAATCTGCTGAGGAAAGCATAGAGAAATGCCAAAAGAATCCAAAATAAAAGACCAACATCTTGTTGCAATGGTACAATGAATGAAAAGGTGGTCAATGGTCTCCTCCCCACAAAGGCAAAAACTACACACCGAAGGGGAGAGTGCCCAGCTTGTGTTTTTCTTTTGGATAATCTAGTGAGTATTTAAGCTTCTATAAGCCATTGACCAAAGAAAAACCTTAATTTTCTTTGGAATTTCGAACTTCCAGATGGAAGCAGTGAGGGAGACCTTCAGCAAGGGAGTGCACTCTGTTAATTTCAAAAAGGCTGATCTGGTGGTAAAATTTTGCTTTTTTCCAGCATCCAAAGAGCCTTATCTTCCCTTTCTCCTATCTGAACGGCTTCCAACCTTTGGATAAGGTCCAACCAGCTATCAATCTCCCAATCAAAGAGCCCTCTGCAGAGACCTAAGTCCCAATCTCGCTCCTCCTCCCTCCAACAATCAGCAATTGAGGCCTTATTTTTCATGGATAAAAATGAGCGGGAAAGAATCTCGAAGGGTGCTGTCGTCTAACCATTTGTCATTCCAAAAACTAATTCTTTCCCCGTTTTTAGCTTTGAAATTCAAAAACCTGTGAAAGAATGTGCTGTTTTTTGCAATATCAAACCACGGTCTCCCTTGAGCTTTCCCTTTTGGTGGAATAGTAGACCACCCGTGAGCGGACTCACCATAGATGCCGGCGCCCTCCTCCATAGAGCATTTGTCTCCTATGAAAACCTCCACAACCACTTTAGAAGAAGACTATTGTTTTTTTGTTGAAGTCCTCCAATTCCAAGACCCCCGTACTATATAGGGAGGGACGTTTTCCCCCAATTAACCAAGTGATTGTAAGTGCCCTTCTGTCTATTACCATTCCATAGGAAATTTCTTGTAATCTTTTCTATATCCCTAACAACACCCGCCGGAGCTTTAAGAATAGGAAAATAGTAAAGTGGAATACTAGTGATCATTGAGCCAAAGTAAGATGACCACCCTTGGATAGGGTTCGATTCCTCCATTTCTCTATCTTCTTTCTCACCTTGTCCACCACGGTCTCCCAAAATAAGAGTCTTTTGTGATTGCCCCCCAAAGGGATGCCTAAATAGGAAGAAGGAAACTCTTCCACTTTGAACCCATAAACAGTTGCAGCAGATCTTAAACTCTCCTCCTCCACATTTATGCCAATAAGGGCTGTTTTCTTCAAGTTTAGGGAAAGACCGGAACCAAGCAGGAAAATATTTATAACCATCCAACAAGTTGAAAGCATACCTTCTTGGTTCGGGCAGAAGATGATTCTGCATATTGCAAGTGGGAAATCTCCACTTCTCTACTGCCTACCTCAAACCCCTTGATGAACTTCCTTTGACAGCAAAAATGGACCATTCTACTAAACGAATCGCCAATCAAAGTGAAGAGGAAAGGGGACAAAGGTTCACCTTGTCTTAGGCCTCTCTTAACAAGAATCTTTCCATGAGGCCGCCCGTTGATCATAATTGAGAAATTGGCAGTTGTCAAACATCCTTTGATCCAGCTCCTCCATTTTTGCCCGAAGCCCTTTCTGCTCAAGGATAGCGTCAAGGTAAAGCCAATCCACCTTGTCATAGGCCTTTTTTCATAGTCCAGCTTTAGGATGAAGCCAGATTGCAGATTTTGGTCCCTAGAACCACCTGGGCCTTATGGAAATCAAAGAGTCCAAGGAAAGTAAATGTGTTTTCTTGGATTCTTATGCTTGGGAAGCCTAACACAGCTGATCTTCTTCAAAAGAAGCTCCCTTCAGCTGCGTTTCTGCCTTCTATTTGAATTTTATGTAGAGCAAGTGGGGATGACTTACATAACTTATTTTTTCATTGCTCTTTCGCCACTCAGGGATGGTCTTATCTTTTCAGCCAATTCCATGTTGATTGGGTTCTCGATCTCAAGGCTGAAAACAACTTAATTCAACTGCTTCGTGGGATTTCTTACTCACTTGGCCCAGCTGTTGTGGGTCAATGCCGTCAAAGGTTTTCTTTCAGATTTGTGGTGTGAAAGGAATATGAGAATCATTGAGTGAAAGCATCACTCTTGGTTTGATTGCCTCATTTCGGCTAAGGTTAAGGCCTCTCACTGGGTTTCTCTTGCCAATTCTTTTTCTCACTATTACCCTATCTTCGATAATTGGGGTGTTTTTATTAGGCCACCGTAGTCCTTTGTATTTGTTATTTTTCATAGTTCTTGCTATTTATTTGTATTTTGCTGTTTTTATTCTTTTTTCACTCTTTCGAAAGTTTGTATCTTTGAACAATTTCTTGTTCCTTTTCATTTCATCAATGAAAAGTCCGTACCTTGTTAAAAAAAAAATTCAAAATATATAGAAATTATAAATAATCTGTTTACAAAGTACCTGTTAGAAGAATAAGTTGCAACTAAGAAGCCAAAAAGTCAACCAGGAACTTTATGCAAAAATACCTGAGTTTCCGTGACATGATGGCTAGCAGATTTCCAAGAACCCCCACTAGCTTCCAGTTGCTCTGCCCAATTGCGTGCTTGCTCCCAATGTCCATTATTTTCTAGTGCAGTTAAAAGTGATGCATCATCTAGAGCCTGATTTCCAAGGTGCAGGCCATCATCTATACGTAATGAAGGCTCTGCTAAATTTATTTTCCAAAAAAGTCGTCGGTAATATGTGGCAGCAAATCCTCCATCACCAAAATCAGTTGCAGCTAAAAGTTTCAGTAGGCATCTTCTTTCATATGGAGATGGACAAACAGACAGTACCGCATTAGCAGCCTTAACAGCAGTAGATCCAGTCCACGATGTCCCAGTATTCTCTTCTCCTTCAACATTTGAATGAGAGTAGCTTGCTTCATCCTTAACTCGTACAGAAAAAGAACCTAAATGCGCTGAAGCTTCAGATAAACGCATTTGTGAAAACGCCTAATGAACAATGAACTTTACATCAGAAGAAAATTCGGTAAAAGTAAATTCAAAGCCATCCCACTGAAATTAAAAACATTCAATCAATCACATTGCTATTAGGATTAAACAATTTCTTAAATTTTACCTACATTGGCCAAGGAATAGTGAAACCAATTAAAAACTTTAGCAAGTAGAGAAAGGAGTGGGGATATATGAGATGAAAAGCTTGGATTATGGATAAGCTCAAAAACCTGAAGAGCACGGATGAACGGTAGCAGGGAACATGAAGGAAGGAACATTTCAAAAGCCCTTAATAGAGGCAAGAATAATTGCTGTTCACAAAGCACAGAAACCATCTTGGACAGAGTTGATGGTGCTTCATCTGAATCATATGAAACAGAAATACGTTGGCGATCCTTAACTATCTTTCCTTCTTCCTTAACAATAAAGCCACCTGAAACATTAGTCGATGGACCTGTTGAAGCACTGAAATTATCAGACATCACTCTGACTGATTGATCTTCAGAAATGGAATCCACAGTTCGCCTTCGTTTGGTATTTTTCCGGCAGTAATGAATTGCAGGTGATCTACACCCAGCTGACAGGGTATTGGTAGCTTCTACAGCTGCCCCAACATTTTCTGCAATCTGGGAAGCAATATCATTTACCTTAATGGATGTAGTTTCCCTGTATATAACACAGAATCAGACAGATCTTCGGTTTGGTATTTGCAAATATCCTACTTTGTATGGATAAAATCAATAAAGAGAGAAGGATAAGAAAAACTGAATAGATATAAATATAAAACTTGCATAAAATCAATGAAATAAATACTTAGAATTAAAGGTCTACTTCCAACTTCCAAGTATGAAGATAACTATCTATACATTTCATTTTCAAAAGGAATAATTGATGTCACCTTGCTGCAGTAATTTCTAGCCAAACAGTAAGACAGGATAATGGAGACACGTCTGGGAAGCAAGAAGCAATTATTGCCAAAATTGACCAGGATAACTCTTCTGCCTTTATCAAGAGAGCTTTTCCAGGGTTTTTCTTCTTCTCACATTCGGCTAAAATTGTAAAAAGTTCAACTGGAGTATACATATTTCCATCTAAAAGGGAAGTTTGACCTTTTTTCTCTTCAGTATCAGAGTATGATGAAGACCCAGGGTTTTTCCTTGACTGTACAGCCTTCAATACAGTTAATATATGGATTTTGAGACGTGGATCACTGAACTCTTTTGATGCCTAAAGTAGCAAATAAAAAAGGAAGAAAATATGTAACAGAAGGATAAGAGATTTAGGTAAGTAACTGCTCAAATTAATTAATGTACAGGACTTACTACTTGGATAACTGTGTCAAAAGGGTACCCGCCAACGTGAGCCTCAGTTAAAAATCCAACCTTTCAAACAATAATAGCACCAAGAGGTAAAAAATCAGAAAGTGAATCATTGCAGTTGAGAAAATTAGTTCAGTATTAAAATAGACCGAAGGGGAATACCCAGTCATTATCTCTTGCTAACAAAGCAAGATACTTTGAACTTAGAGGAAGTCTATGCATCCGACAAAAGACCGTAACAAAATTCCAGTGATGGCTTGCAGCTTTTTGTTTATTTCTCAGCTCAGTCCCATCGCCTTTACCACTTAATAGCCATGATCCACATGAATTTCCATTGACCACTTGGGAAAGGCTAACCTCTTCCAAATTCTGTAAGACGAACAAAAGCACCTGTGGACAACGTTTAGGAGGTGCTGAATTAGAAGAACCCTTTGGCTTAGTAACACTTGAACTTTCCTGGTGTAGATACTCATCGGCCAGAGCTTGAGCAAGAGTCCCTATTTTATCAGATTCTAGGGGTACTGGATGAAAAGCAGAACCCTTGGGTGAAAGTTGCCTGAAATTCTCAAAGGATTGCCCAGAATTGTAAAAGCTATATATTCGTCTTAAAGCTGCTACATCTACACGGAGCATACTGGCAGATAATCCACAAAGCTCCAGGAGAAAAGCACATGAAGCAACTAACACAGAGTTCTCAAAATGCGTAATGGCAAGTGGAATAATCTGAAAATCAAGTTGGGAGAAATTTTTACACGCTCAAGTAAAAAAGTTAAACTGTTCATAACTAATTGAAGAATACAAGTTAACCAGAAAAACTCATCCAAGATTGCACAATGCATGGACTAAATAATAATACTGATTTGAAACTAATTAAATAATTAAAAACGACCTTTTCTCAGGAAAATAATTAATAGTATAATTACAAGAAAATTGGAATTTTAGATTAACAGAAGGATCCTGAAGTTGTCAGCGGTGGGTAAGCTTGTTGGCATTTTTGGCAACCATCAATGTCCAAAAATGAATAGATCCAGGGCTACCCCCTAGAGAAAGCCCCAATAATTTAAGGCCAACTTCCCAAGGAGATTGAAAATCTGCTGGTTAAATCCTTCTGCTCTCCTAGGAGCAATGATTTCAACCAGCATACGTTTTGATAGTGTTCATCTACAGACCAAAAGCAAGCAAAAAAATTCTATGGACATTGAATGAGTTATGATCTTTCCTTTATCCCAGGGAAAATGTTTCCTTCATTTTAGAATAACTCTGGAAATACGGGAACTTTTGGGAGGGCTACCAAAAAACAAAAGAAAATAGAAAAATAAATCATGGATACAGCCAGTTATTGAAAGGCAAAA